CCCATCACTCCCCTAGTTGGGCTTCTCGCTGGTGTTGGCACCAAGCCACCAGCTCCACCTCTGAAGAGGGGTTGGGCTTCATTGGAAATATTTCAACATCCCCTCCTGCAAGCTGTAACTCCCCATCATTCCCATGGTCAATATTTATTTGCATCCCCATCTGCCCGTGGGCTAATCTCTTCAACTTCCTCCTCTAGTTGAATTCCAGGACCCTGAGCCTCAGCTTGTGGCTGCACAGTTTCACAAGTGGAATCTGAATAATTAAAAATAGTATGGTCAATCTCTCATGAGTGCACTGGAGGTTTGACAGTATGCACATGCACAACAATAGTTTACTAAATGTAGGTGGCTTCTTCCAGGAATTTGAGAACCAGTATGGTATAGTGGCTTAGTGGGACTGGAGAGATCCAAGTCCTAGTCCCCACTTAGCTATGAAGTTCACTGGTGACTTTGAGCTAGTCACTGACTTCTGGCCTAACCTATCTCACATGGTGGTTCTGAAATATAATAGAGAAGAATATATTTGAAGATAGTCTGCCGAAATTCTCCTTTCAAACAGATCAAGACAAGATGCCTTTAAATACAGCATTTCTTTTATTATGCTAAAGCAGGCCAACTAGACTGTTATACAAAAGGAGTATTTCAGACATCAATGGCTACCTCTCAGGCAAAGACATTGGCTGTATTCACACACAAGGCATTCTGGATACTGTACAGGTATGACTTGTCATTATGTGTGAATTCAGCATCTATGTTGAAGCATGACACATTTGGTTTCCATGAAACTGCAGCGAAACAGCAGTCTTTTATAAGGTTTCAACATGGCTTGTTATATATGACCCCAGTTACAAACTTTTGTATGGTTAATAGTTTCTGTCATTGAGTTTGGCAGCAACAGCAGCTGTGGCTACAGTAGATGCTTCAGCCTCTATTTTTCACTGTCCTGTTCCACCTAGCAGCAAATAAAAACCAGGAGCAGACAGCTGGAGTCACACCCAAGGGTGTGTGTGGGCAGTGAGGGAGAGGCAGGCAAGACAGGCAGGAGTGGCGCATGCTGGATTGATTTCAGCCACAGGGATTGATGGGATACATGCTACCATTTGAAGGAAAGGTGAAAAGGCATGGAAATTATGTAAACATGTGAACCTAGGTCAAAGGGTGAGATACCATGCCTGTGATAACTACAGCTTTGCGTAGCATTATGTGTGAGCATAGCTGTCAATTCAAACTGATTCCCTTCCCAACCAAATAGAGTTAACTTCACCCTCAGTGAAGTTCCTAGTGAAAAGGAATTTCACACCTTACTCAGTTGGCAAGCTTTCTTGAGCTGCTGTTGGCTGAGAGGGTACATTATGATATACCCCTCCCCAGATGCTTGGCTTATCTTGAGACTTATTGCCCTTGACATTTCACCTAAAAATTCTGACCCAACCTTTTCTTTCAATTTAGATTCCGAGTCTGAGATAACCACTTTGGAATACTGCACTTTAGGAGTATTACGTCCAGTCCTTATGGAGGCAGCGGGTGGGGGGTGGTGGGATCTTATAAGTAAGCATCTTTGCTTTCCTTTGCAAGAGGAAAAAAAGCTGGATATAAGTGTAAGAAAAAGTAATTAAAAAAGCATGCTGCAATTAATTTGTAACTATGTTTTCAGGCAAAATTATTTGTATTTTTTGGGGGCTTGAACCAATATAGATGAGACACTGAGTGCTGGAGATTTGATGTTCTTCTGTTTGCTTCTTTCAGTTGCTGTTTGTTTTAGCTACTGATGCAGATCAGGGATAAAGAATAACTAAATTTCAGCTGAATCCAAGTCTATCTTGCTTAGTAAACTATAGTCATAATAGAATACAGTGGTTCCTTGGTTCACGAACTTAATCCATTCCAGGACTCTGGTCATGACCCAAATCGGTCGTGAGCCAACTTAAATTTCCCCATAAGGTTCAATGTAAATAAGGTTAATCCATTCTGTAACTATTTTTTTAATCAGGAAAATGTGAATCAAAGTGACAAAGAACAAAAAAGATCATGACCATCTCACCCCTACAACCCGAGCACAAGCACGGCCATCTCCCCGCCCCCCCAGCACAACCGCAGTCGTGCCCCTCATCCCTGCACATGCCTGTCATCCTGGCACGTTGTGGGGGGAGGGACGGGCACGATCGCAGGCACGCTGGGGGGGGAGAGATGGGCACGAACGCAGGCATGGTGGGGGGGAGAGACAGGTGTGAACATGGGTCCACTGGGGGAGGAGGCGGGCGCGATAGTGCTGGGGGGGCAAGATGACTGAGATAGTGGTTGCACTCATGCAGGAAAGATGGGTGCAATTTTGGCCATCTCCCCCCTGCCCCCTGCATGATTAATCATGGCCATCTCCTCACTCAGGGGGGTGGGGAGATGGCCATGATTGCAGTTGCCACCCAATGCAGAGTTTGCGACCTGTGTCAAATTTTTTATGAAATTTTTGTTCGCAACCCAATTTGGTTGTGAACTGTGGCATTCGTGAGCTGAGGTACCACTGTATTTGATGGGCTGGTGTTATTACCATCTCATTGAGAAAGGATGGTGTTTCTTTCCTTTTTTACATATGTTACAGGGTTATAGATTTACTAGCAAACCACAGTGTTGTTTTTCTAAGTTCCAGGCACACCTGGTTACCATTAACTTTTTTCCTTGATTCGGTCATTTTCTGGATGCCTTTTAGTCTGTGAGCCCAGATGTGGAATGCTACTTATACCTTTGTTAAGTGATTTTGGCTAGAGATCAGTAGGGCACTTGCACTCTGTAGGCTGGGTCAGACCTTTCTAGAATCTTTGATACTATTGGTACCAATGTTTGGATCAAGGGACAGGTGGTCTGGTAGGTTTTGGGAACTGGTCTTGTATTCCTAACCTCTTTCCATTGAGGAAGCCCAAAAGGTAATGATAACAATCCATTGTCAGCAGCCTAGTCTCTGCTGCTTCTTTGGACTGTATCAATGTGTAAACACACCCACCCCTACTTCCAACTCTTCTTTTTCCTTCACTGCTCATGTCCATGCCCCTCCATGTGCAGGACTCGCAAACACTGCTAGGGGCACACAGAGGGCATTTGTGTGGGTAGGCCACACCAGGGATAGATGGAGCGTGTCCTGATGGAAAAACTTTCCTGAGCATGCCCATCTGGGCAGCTGCCTGGGAAAGTTTTCTGGAGTATCAATGTGTAAACACACCCACCCCTACTTCCAACTCTTCTTTTTCCTTCACTGCTCATGTCCATGCCCCTCCATGTGCAGGACTCGCAAACACTGCTAGGGGCACACAGAGGGCATTTGTGTGGGTAGGCCACACCAGGGATAGATGGAGCGTGTCCTGATGGAAAAACTTTCCTGAGCATGCCCATCTGGGCAGCTGCCTGGGAAAGTTTTCTGGAGAGCAGCAAAGAAGGTGTTTGCCCTACATCTGCGGTGGGGGTGGGGGGACGGTGTGATTTGTTGATAGTCCTCAGGAATGCCAGGGTCAAGATAGGTGCGGAAAGGATAACAGGAGACCTTGGCTTTCAGGGCCAACACCCTATTGGTGATGCCTGTTTCTCTAGTGTAGGGCAACTTTCACAAGAAGAGAACATTGGTTGTAAGAGTAGAGCAAAGGCACTGCAGTTTGATAGCATCACTCAGGCAGACTGTAGCAACCAAACAGGAGTGATAAGCATGCCTGTCTCCAAGGTTACTGCTGCTAGAGGTGACACACCATGATACTCCATTGCCACTGAGATTCCAGAGCTGCAGCTGGGCATTGGGCAGGCAGTGTGCAGAGAGAGGGAAAAAATAGCACAAGGCAGCCCTTCAGAGCATGTCTGCAGCTGACTCACCAGTTACTAGGCAGAACAGGACAGTGAAAAGCAGAGATTGGAGAGTCAGTGGCAGTGGCAGCTGCTCTTGCCACCAAATTCTATGGGAGAAATGTAGAAACCATGGAAAAACATTGTAAATGAATTCACATAACAAGCAATGATGAAGCATGGAAACCTTACAACAAACCTGTGATTCTCTATGAGGATTCATGGAAACCATACATGCCACATTCCACCATACATGCAGAGTTCACAATTATTAACAAACTGTGTCTGCACAATTTCCAGCAAGGCAATGTTGTTATGTGTGAACACAGCCACTTTCTTGAGCATATCTGTACTTGAATTTCCAGTAAACTGTGATGGCCATGAGTGCTTTTGACTAATTCTGCTTCTTCTTAAGTATTAGCACAATCTTTAACTTTGTAGCAATGAAATTAGACTAGTAGAAATATTCTGTATAAGGAAATGTTGAGTGATGATTGGAACTCCTAGGAGGTAAGAAACGCACCACAGGCAGAAACAGCATTCCAGTATCTGCACTGGCTCTCCTTTCTCTTCTTTTTAAGGCACTGCTTAAGACCTATAAAGAGTTTGAGCCCAGCATTCCTTAGAGAACAGCTCTATTCTTATTTTCTATAATTAAGATTCACTGTAAATGTGCTTAAATTTATCCTATATGATACAAATATATCTTTTCAGATGGAAGGAAATTGACCATCTTTCTGAGATAGAAAAATTGGAAAAACTGACTTCCAATAAAACTGAAGTAGCATTGGCTTCACAGCTTAGGTTTTCCTGTTTGAATTGGCCTTTTCTTGTTAATCTACTTTTAAAATTAAGTTACTAGTCAATTTTTGTTAAACTCTCCCTATATGGTATTTAGGTTGCATTCTTATGCATATTTAGGCAGACGCCCTAAAGCTTCCAGCATTCCCCAGCAAGCTTGGCTAGCTAGAGAATGCTGGGAATTGTAGAACTCTTTCATGTCTAAACCTACATATGATTCCCCTTATATTCTTGGTATTTGATGAGAAAAAAATGAGCGTGCTTTCCAGCATGGTGCCTTTACTTTGTCATTTCATTTTTTCATATCACTTACTAAAATGTTCAAAAGAGGCTTGCTCATTCAAACTATAACCATAATGGAATTTCTGCTTTATTTTCAGCATTTGGCGTGGACCAAATATAAACTGCACAGATAGTTCAGGGTACACTGCATTACACCATGCAGCTTTGAATGGACACAAGTAAGTGCCAAATGACCGCAGACATGTTGATACTACTTTTTGCTGCATGCTTACTTTAGTATTAGCTACATAGAGAGGTTAAAGAGGCAAGGAAGAGACAGGGGCACTCAGGATACAGCATACTGAAGCCATCCCAGCCTTTCTTCCCTTCCTTTCTAAAATGGCCTGTAGAAAAATTGCAGAGCGGGGTGGGGGGCAAAGATTGCCACTACTGCTCCTTCTGCTCTGCTCTGGATGAATATAAGCCTCCAAGTGCAGAAGCTCCTGCTCACCTTGATTGCATTATATCTTAAATTAACATGTCTCTGTTTTCTGTAGTGTTAAGAATTTGATTTACCGAGACTGTTGTGTAGTATGGAGCAGACTCAGTGTTCTCCAGTGAGTTCCAGAAGCAAATAAATCTGCATGTCTTTAGTCAATATCCTTAATTTTGTTGTAAGAAAAAAAGTTTTTTGTAGCATATAGAATATTTGCAACCCTTGCTTATATTGCATTGTGTAGTCTAAGAATGGAATTCCCTAATGAAAATTTCAAGAAGCATTAATACATTTTCTGCAGCTTGATATGAATTGGAAGGAAGTCAATAGGGAGACAATGGTGACAATGCATAGATCAAAGGAAGATACTTAAAAGATGTTTGTGGAGGTAAAGATGTAAAGAAGAAAAGATAGATAAAAAGGAAATGGAATTTGTGTTAGGGCCTGAGACACAGGAATTGCTCTAGGAAATCAGAGTCATGGGACATGTCATTTTGCTCTTTTAGAATATTGATGTGACCATAGATCTGTTAATATCATTAAGAATCTAGTAATTAACTTTCAGAGGTATTTCCCATACTATGATTCTAAGGTATATCCTATACTATGACTATGGAATTTATTATATCCCACCTATTACCAGTGATTGGAACTCAAGGCAGCTATGTAACTTTTAATGTCTTATTCTATGTTTCATTTAAAAGAGGCATTCAGATATAATAATCATAGCCACTGCACATTCTTTGGTTTAGACTATAGAAGCCTTCTAGCACTGATGACAGAGTCATCTGAATGACTGAATGATGTTGTTGGTTTCTAGTATAGCTTGATAATATGTGCTATAATACATGAGCTTTAGAAAGAAATAATTCTGTCAGTCCTAAGTTCTGTCGATTATATTTTTCAGGGATGTGGTAATCAAATTACTTCAATATGAAGCTTCCACTAATGTGGCAGATAATAAAGGGTATTTTCCTATACACTTGGCTGCTTGGAAAGGAGATGTAGAGATTGTGAAGATTCTTATCCATCATGGGCCATCACATTCCAGAGTGAATGAACAGGTGAAGTTATTAAATATCTTTGTTTATGTCTTCAGAAAATACAAGTAAGTATCCTATTGTTCTTATATCTGTAAGATATAAGCTCATTCATGTTTAAAAGTATCCATGGTAAGGAGTAAGAATGATTATTTCTGTGGAGTTGTGGAGCTATATGGATCTGATACCACTTAAAATGGGCAAACATCAGCACCTAAAACAAGTATTATACTGTATTTAGCTCAATCTTTTATTTGCCAGTTCTATTTGCTATGATATGAAACAAAAATGTAATCTTTGGTTTATTGAATTCTTTACATTATTTTGCTATATATAGAATATGTGCAATGTGCTCCTTTGGTTCTCCTAAAGTTTTTTATCTCGTTATGGCAAAGTATTAGATCCATACTTTGTCTTGCTTAGAATAGACCCAGTTAAATCAAGTTAGTTATTATTAATGTTCCCTTATTGACTTCAGTTGGTCTACTCTAAGCATGATAAATCTTGACCCCAGCTCATTGTTACTTACAATTTCAGACACATGGTTCTCTCCTATTCCTTGATGTTAGGGAGCATTCATATGGTAACCACAAACAGACTATTTGACTAATAGACTCTCAAGCAATTGAAAGTAAGATCTGTCTCTGCCTTTTAGAACCAGCTTGCACAACTTAGATTTTGCTAACTAAATAAATCAGAACATTGGAATTACTTTATATTTAGACAAGACTGTTCTTTGGTTTCTCAGTGTAAGTATCCTTAATACATCTTCTGAGTGCTTCCTCTAAAAATATTCTGCCACAGCTACTTCTTAATAATTGCAAAAAGTAGAATAATAAGCTCATGCTTTTCTGATTCAGGAAAACATGTTACCCCCCCCTCCCACACACACACACTTGCATGAAAAATAGGGAGAAATGTGTGCCTTGCTCCTAGGACTGTCCCATCTTGCAGCAATAAAAGATTTTGTCCCCCTGTCATTCTTGTTCTGCCCTCTAGTGGCCTTTAGTAGTCTAATTCATACTGTTGATAATGATAAAACTACATTTTTCAAATTACTTCGGTCTCAAATTGTAGTATATGGCATTCCAGAATGATGAAGGAAGCTCTATTCATAGGAATGGCAGGAGGCTGATATAGCTTAGATCTTTACATTCATGGCTATAAATTGACAGTAGAGGGATGGCATTATAGTTCACTACTGAGTTTATTATCTGAGAATGCTAGCTCCAGATAGTGAGGAAAAGTACAAATTGGAAAACAGGAAAGGGAACTGCATAAGCTGAATAGAGGGTAGAGTATTGGTTTACTTATGGCAGGAGGTGTGACAGAGTCTAATAGGAATACATTCAGAAACAACTATTGGTGCAGTCACTAGGTGGATACTTTCAGCAAACTGTTAGGATTGTGATAGGAATGGCAAAGGAAGGGGTTACTGTGAGTGAATAAAAAATGAATTTGAGAGATTGCAGATAATACAAAGATAGAACTCTTAGAAGTACCAAAGGTAATATTATTATTACATTAGTTTGTATCCTTCCTTCCGTCCTTCAGTCCTTCCTTCCTTCCTTCCTTCCTTCCTTCCTTCCTTCCTTCCTTCCTTCCTTCCTTCCTTCCTCTTGCTAGGAACTCAAGGAAGTTTACAAGGTTCTACTTCTTTATACTTTATCTTCACAGCAAGAACCCTATGAGGTAGGTTAAGCTGAGAAGTCACCCAGATACAGTGGTACATTGCCTCATGAACGCCTCAGTTCATGACCAAATCGGGTCGCGAACAAAAATTTCATAAAAATTTAGACTCAGGTCATGAACTCCGCATTGGGTGGTGACCATGATCGCAGCCATCTCCCTGGGGAGATGGCTGTGATCTTTCTGGGGGCAGGGGAGAGATGGCCAAGATCATGCCCATCTTTCCTGCACAAGCGCACCCGTGATTGTGCCTGTCTTTCTTGCAGGAGCGCAAACACGTTCTTGGCCATCTCCCATCCCCCAGCACGATTGTGCCTGTCTCTCCCCCACAGCGCATCGGGATGATGGGTGCATGCAGGGATGACAGGCACAATGGCAGTCGTGCTAGCGGGGAGTGGGGAGATGGCTGCACTTGTGCTCGGGGTAGGGAGATGGGCCCGATCTTTGTTGTTCTTTGTCGCTTTGCTTCACATTTTTCTGATTAAAAAAAAAGTTCCAGAATGGATTAACCTTATTTAAATTGAACCTTATGGGGAAATTTAACTTGGCTCATGACCAATTTGTGTCATGACCAGAGTCCTGGAATGAATTAAGTTCATGAGCCAAGGTACCACTGTACTTTCATGGTAGAATGGGAACTCAACCTGGATCTCTTGAATGCCAGCCCACCACTCTAATCAATATACCACACTCATATTTCCACAGAAACAGTATTTGTGAGAGTAATGCAAAGGAACAGTATAGTAATGCATATTGGAATTAAAGATTAATGTGTTACTATAACACAGGAAGTAAATATCTAAATATTATGTAGAATCTCTGTAGGATTACCGTCTTATCTATCATGGAGCATATAATCATTGTGTGGTTTTCTGTCATTGCAGTTAATTTTGTTTCTGTTTTTTCTTTTCTTCATTTAGGTAAAAAATTATTCTTTCTATGCAATGATATCTTAAGGAAGTCTATTCAGAGGTGGCAATAGCTATTTTTTTAAAAGTTGTCATTGGTTGGAAGTTAGGATTAGTATAGAATGCGTCATCAAGTTGGACCATCTGCTTTCTTTTATTTCATATAAACCTGTATATTGATAAAGTGGTAAAATGTTTGAACAAATTAGATGACATCTTACTTAGAGAACTATTCAGTATGATATTGACTATGTGCATATATAATGTTTAAACCATGGTTTATTGCTACATATCTAACCAGAAAGGAGCTTGTATGAAGTGCTGGGCTCCTCCCACACTGCTTGGAGAAAGAAAAAACCAGGATTCAGAGCTGCTTTAGCATTTTCTGTCTTGATGTATGCAAGCTAGGAACTGAACTAAAGCAAGCTCTAGTTTGTTAAAGAAGCCAGAAAAAAACCAAGCCAGTTTGTATTTGACTTGATTACCAATTGATGAGAGTTTATTTTAAAGCACAATTCTGGTTTGCAAGTTCTGGAATCCTCTGAAATGAAAATGAATTCTGGTCTATTCTTCTTTGGCTATACAGGAGGAGGGGAGGGGAGATGAAACATGCAAGCCAAAGGCTTTGTTTGGACTTCTTTCTGCTCATGGATATGATGATCTATGTAAATCATGACTTAGCATGGAGTATGATCCATCCCCTCATATGTGTAGCAATAAACAGTGGTTTAGGATTAACTTCAAGCCACCAAATTAAGAGCACTATAAGCAAAATAGAAAATCCCACTGACACTTTACAGTTTTTTAAGATTTATATTAATTAAACTGTTTCATTAATAGTAAAAATTATAATCGGGCCAAGTATATTTTCTTATGTTTTTTTCCTATGTTAACCCCAACATACAATATAAAAATCCAGTTGTTTTCCATGAGAAGGAGTTAAGGACATCCTTAATGTTTCCACTTAAATTAGCCTGGGGCTTAAAGGGTTTACTTTTATGTCCTTGTATTTTTTATATTACTGTCAATATTTGTGAACATAACACTTAGTCAAGATGCTGTTACAGAAATTTAGGTCTTGAAAACATTTATAATTCCACTGGTTACTAGTACCTGTAATACACAAAGATGAAAGCAATGAAAGAACACAAAAGATTTTAGCAACGATTTTCCAGTTCTCCATCCTTTCTTACCCTCTTGTGTGTGTCTTACTTTGTGCATCTGTTATTTCCTATCTTCCTTATCTCTCTTTCTCTCTCTCTCTCTCTCTCTCTCTCTCTCTCTCTCTCTCTCTCTCTCGGTCTCTGCTTTCCCTCCCTCCTCTTCTACTTTTTCTATTTCTTAGGGTCTACTCAGCAGTTGCAGTAGAACTGCAACAGAGGTGTTTTACCAATGATACTGACACAAGATTGAAATTGACTAGACATTCTCAGTTTTAGTCAGTTTCAATCTGCATCTTGAGTTCCAGGTAATGTCCTTCCGAATTTTATTGCAACATGCTATTCCATTTCTTCTGCTCTAGTTTTCTCCATGTACATTGAATTTGGTAAATATATTACCTAATCTCAATGTCTGCTTTTTGAGTTATCTTTTGTCCCTTCAAATTACACACATGTATTACCATATAAGTCCCTCTATTTTCACATTAGGCAGTTGTGAATCTCACTGCCTGTCAGAAGCATACAATTATGCATGCATGGCTTATAGTGTACTCATTATGCTTGTGGCTGAAACGATGTTCCAGTAAGTTTTGAACAAGTACATTGCTTGCTTGTTTGACAATTACCTAATTAGTAACCTACTTTTGTGTAAAAAATGACATTTAAAATATAATTAGTATTAGAAATACAGGATCAAGCTCCTTCTTGGTAACTCTGTTAGAGGTAATATACATTCTTAATAACCAGGTAGAAATCATGGATCAAAAATAATTTTTTCCTTGCTTGTAATATAGCAGCATATTATTTGCCATGAATCTCTATTCTTCTATGGAAAAAAATATTAGGTGGGTGGTGAGGGGGCAGAAATGAGCTTGAAATCTTTTTTTTTTTAAGTTATAAGATCAAAATTTTGACCCACCAAAAGAATATGGCACTGGATTTAACCATACTTTGTATTCCCCTGGAAGTATTGACCGATCACTTCGTAGATACTTTATGACTGCAATAACTATTGCCCTCACTGTTCAGCTTACTCACACTTTGCTTAGACTACTGAGTATGGTGACAGACAGGTAATAAGCTTCTGTGTGTGAACTAACATATAAAGAGCATTTTCAATCTTATATACCTGTCTTTGCCAATTCATCCTCATGATAATCCCCTTGAATATTTATCAACAACATTGATTAGCAAAACCATTTTCTTATATTCCACCCACCCATTCAAATCTGTTTCTTAATGGTAATTTCCACATATTGTATTCTGTAAGGAAAAAAGCTTCTGCCCATATTTTACTTGAGGTATTAGCCAAATCCACAAATATGATCATCACCAGTAATGTAATATTTGGACCAAACATGATTAGAATAACAGCCTTTAAAAAACACCCAAACAATTGTAATACAGTACTTGTAGGTGGAGGTGAGGATATACAACTGGAAACCTTATTATGCCTAGCTAGTTCTTCTATTTGTTCCAATAGTTGTTTTATTTTATATAAAGTAATTACTTATAGTGGTAGTTTAAATGTGTATGCAAGAATTGGTACAATTTGCATCATTGCTTAAAGATGATTAAAGAAAGATAGGTTTTCAGAAATGTAAAATGCTACACTATTCCAGCTATGTGCTTTTTCTCATTTTGAAATATGAATATGAATGACCGAGGCTTTTAGTGTGTTTTGTAGGTAAAGGGTTTTCCCCCTGTCTGTTCACATTTTTAGGGATATGAGATAATTACTCAGTGTTTCTGCATCTCTGTTGTAATATGTTCTTATTTAGAAAGTTTTATTTAACAGTGCAATCCAAACATTGCTATTCAGAAATAAGTTTCATTGAATTCAGTGGGGTTTAGTCCCAGGTAAGTGAATACAGGATTATAGACTAATCTGATATTTTATCACTATATGATATAAATGACTGAAAGACCAATGGGAATTGTAATGACTGGGTATGTGTTGTTATTTTTAACAAATCTTTAAAACCTATCGTACCTCATTTTACACATTTTATTTATAAAATACAAGTACAGTTTCTTATATAATTGTGAAATATTTATATGAAATTGTACATTCTTATGATATTTATTATATCTCAAAATAGTGTAATTTGCCTATAGAATGGAATTGTTGAATATATTGGAATGGATGTAAAAACTCCATGGTCTTCTGTTTGTGTGGGTGGAATACTGCCAATTTTCTGCCTGTCTGCAATTTGCAGTAGCCCTCAAAAAGTAGCATCAAGAAACTCTCCAGTCAGGGCTGTCGTAAGGCATTGGCCTGATGGGCACTTGCCCGTGGGCCCCATACTAATCTGTGTATGTTAACCCTTGGAAAATTGGAAAACTTCCAAAATTAACACTAGTTGTAGTTGTTGTCGGGGCCCCAGTACACTGCTTTGCCCCGAGGCCCATAATGCTGTTAAGACGGCCCTGTCTCCAGTGTACCTTTTTGGGGACACAAGCAGGGAAATCATTGCTATCACTGTGTGAGCAGAATATTTTTGCTTGGGCATTCTACTCTTAGGTTCTAAATCAGGATTATTCTGATTTTTGAGTTAATTCATTAAGATTGTGTAACTATGCTTTTCATCAGATAATAGGTATTTAAGTGGTATCCATAAAGAAATAGCTTTATTTATTTATTTATTATTAAATTTGTTGAAAGGCTGCCCATTAGCATCACACTATCTGGGTGGCCATTACAATAAAATTACCAGTTACTTTATACATAAATTGATGGACCATTGCATTCTAATGGTTAAAATGAATAGAGTTTGTTTCAATAGTTTAATATTTGCTTACAGTCCTATACTCATATATATATTGTAGGAATTATATCTAATGTTAATTTTCTGTGTGCATTTCTAAATATTGGCAGCCTTCATTTTGCAGTTAGCGTCGTTACATTTTAACTCCTCTTACAAGGGGGATGCTGTATCAATTAATGTAGAGAGGAAACTGAGCTTCCAGAACTATTTCATTTAAAGTTTTTAGCAAAACTAAGATTACTGATGTAATATCTATTAAATTTCTTTCAATGTGCTCAGATAGTATATCTTAAAAAATGAACTATGCCAAGTGCAATACAGTTGTTGACATGGCATTTTATTTTTCTCTTTTTAACAGAACAATGAAAATGAAACAGCTTTACACTGTGCAGCACAGTATGGACACTCAGAAGTAGTTGCTGTTTTGCTTGAAGAACTTACAGATCCTACAATAAGGAACAACAAATTAGAGACTCCGCTGGATTTGGCAGCCTTATATGGCCGCCTGCAAGTAGTGAAGATGATAATAAATGCATATCCAAACTTGATGAGCTGCAACACAAGAAAGCATACTCCTTTGCACCTTGCTGCACGTAATGGCCATAAAGCTGTTGTACAGGTGCTACTAGAAGCTGGAATGGATGTCAGCTGCCAAGTTAGTTGAACTTTTAAGAAATTATTTAAAGAAAGTTTTGTTGTGTTACGTTTAGTTAAAGATATGTTAGAATAGTGCTATTTGTAAGATAATGAAATATTGCAAAATAGTTTATGAAAAATACATTACAACATAAAGTATACGGATTGGACAGAACAGGATAGCTTTCTGACTGGTCAGTTTATTACACTGTTTTTAGTGTCTGAGTTGACTTATTTTTGCCTTCAGGCATATTTCATGGAACTGGTTCTGACATAACAAATACTTGCTCCTTTTTTTAATCATACGAAATTTCAAAGTTCATTTAAGAGCAGCCTGTTTGTGCATCCAGCAAAGGTAAGGGAAAATAAAAGTATTTTCAATGGTTTTTTCCTCAGTTTTGAGACAACTTCATACTTTTGCTAGCTAGTCATCAGTAGGCTATGGAGCTGATGAAAAGGCCATTTAATTTGGTTATGTCTTTACTGACCGAGAATAAGATGGGAGTTACTTTTGCAGCATATTTTAAACGTGTGTATGTAAAATTTTGTTAAATACATATCTTAGGACCTACCCATTGATGAGTTAGGACTGAAAGGATAGGATAGAAATGCACACTGGAACTTTCTTGGAGTATTTTTCCTGACCTTGTGCTGCATCAGAGGCCACTTTCAAAATTTTGGGGAATTAAAGAAAAAGCTTATTCAGAACTGCAGGGGCTGATTTAGGGATGGGGATCCCAAAAATGTGTGCTTTCCCACAGACTTTTAGATTCTAACTTAAATAGAGAGCAAATATATGAAATGTGGAAAAACCTTTGCTTTCAGTTGACTGTTTTTTGCTGCCTCTTCTAATACAATATCTGAGTAAAAGTATTAATATTTGTTGAGTGATAGAAAGTAATAAATGATAAATATATTTTAAAATGTTGCATTGCAGTTGATTTTATTTTGCATTCACAGAAGATGAAAATGGAAAGAAAGGCTACAATAATGTTATTTTGCAAAATAAGTAGAATATTATGAAAAATGTCTATACTGGCAGAAAACTAGGAAGTGCAGAGCAATTAAAACCATTCAGTGCAATACAGTAATCTAAGTAATGTCCTACTAAAGCATAAAAGCTGTACCAGATATTAATATATTACAGACTGTTGTTTTGCAGACATTTGTTTCAAGAGGATTATGGTTGATTCAAATGTGCCTTTCTATCCAAACTTAAACTAAGACTAGAAATCTCTGGAATAATTATTGTTTAGATGATTCAAGAATACTTTAAAAATTTAGTTTTATTGCTTCCATTTCTGCAAGGTAAATAGAAGAAGATAGAATAAATAATGAACATACCAGATTGCTAGAGATCTTAGCTAAGTCACCTTTAAATTCAGAGCCCAGTAAGTCACAAGGTGTCAAGATCATTTTCCCTTCATTCATTTGTCCCTTTATTCATCTGGGCACTCATATCCAAGATTGGGTCCTATTAGTGGTGTTTTCTCTCTGGTAAGTCAAATAGCAAACTTTCCTGGTTAATTTATTTGGGATTATTTTCTTCATACAAGAACCATCAGAGGACAAAAGTAGCTCTAGTCAGAATCTTCTAGTTGAGATTCCTGAAGCATTCTGACACAGTAGGACACAGTGATGACTTTTCTTAGAGTTGTAGTGCTGCATGACCCAAAACCAAGATTTGGTAGCTTCCACCTTGAGAACAAAAATGCTTACAGTTTCCATACCAATTAAGCTTTCAAATGGCTCAAAGGGATTAAATCTATGGTTAAAATACACAGTAGTAGATATTGTTTCATATTGGGTCATAATCTCTTCCATCAAATGTGAAGTACAGTCATTCATTGCTCTAAATGGAAATACTCAAAAGTTGTTACTAGGACAGGATATTTCCACCACTGCTTTCTGTAATGAAAGGCCAGAGGGCATCTTCTTTGACCTTCTGCTGCTGAGCAGAACTCGGCTCAGTTTTAGACTCAACCAGATTTGGCACCACAACTCATCTGAGGAACAAATCAGAGTAAAAGTAAAAATTGAAACAAAGAGGAAAGGCAGAGGGAGACTAGGATACAGAATAGAAGAGAGAAAGGGCAAAAGGATAGCAACAATAACACTTACTCGCCAAGGCTGTCTTGTGTCCTGATCCCAGGCATCTGGATTACTTGGCATGCCCTCTGGATAAAGCAAGAAAGCTAACCCTATTATATTAATACCTAACATGACTCTCCTCACAGCAATGATCTTAGAAGCTGGTCAGGGACCTCTGACAGAGTAGGAATCTGGTGGGAGAGAAAAAAATCCTCTGAAATTCAGTTTCTTAGCCCCCTTGCCCTGACAGTGAGATGATGCCTCCCTCCTCCCTCCTCTGCCAGCAATTTACAACATTAAAGATCAAGCAATAATATCAACCAGATGTCCTTGGCAGGAACTCATTTTTTAATAAAAGCTCTGGTTCATATACTATTCCATCCTTACCAGCTCCTAGGCCAACTAGTTCTTTTATTAATGTTTGCCTGCATTCTGAGACCTCTGCTACACCTTCCATGGACCAATCTAGACCCATATTTCATCCCAATTCTGTAACAACTGGCTCATGCATGGGGCACACAACATACATTCCAATCACATTGTTTCTCAATACTCTGCTTTTTTCAAACTGCATTAAGGTTTTTTCAGTGTTTGTCATTTCCATGTGCTTACAACTACATGGCTGTGTTCTGACATAGTGGACAACCTATGGCAGGAATAGCTTATCGTTACGTGTGAATATTGGAAGCATGGTGAGATGTGGCATTAGTTACCATGAATTCTTCTGGAGAACCAACAGTTTGTTCCAGTGTTCCTGGTTTCAGCATTGCTTTTCATCATGTGGGAAGCCAGTTACAATGTTTTCCCACAGTGGCCACTCCAGTCTACAATTTCTGCTGACCTGTTCAAGCAACAACTGAGTTGCAGACAGTTCCCTGATGCCTGGCTGCTCCACTGCCATCCTTGCTACCTGGCTGATCACCCACCTCTTGTACTGCTCTGCTCCCTCACTTCTTCGCCTCTGCATTCACTTCTCACACTGCCCCCTTGCCATTCTCCACTTGCCACTGTGTCAGCCTCACAAGACATGCACATGTCTCAAAAAGCTGACATCTCTTGTATGTGTGTCTTGCAAGGCTGGAATGGCAGCAAGCAACAATGCAGCAAAGAGGCAAGGAGGCAGAGTGGTGAAAAGATTAGGGGACAAAGGGGTGGGGTGATCAAGCAGTTGGTTTGCAAGATGTGTGATCAACAAGCCAGTGGGCCTGGTAGCAGTGAGGTGGGGGGGCATCAGTGAGTGTGCACCAAAAGAGAGGATGGACCAGTGACCACAGAGCCACCATGCTACTCTGATGAGACAGGGGAGAATGGTCAGGGGGAAGTAGCTGCGAGCTGAGAATACACCAAGGGAAGCATGCAGGCCAATGGGAGGAAACAGGTTACACAGGCAGGAGTGGTGCTGGCTGGGATTGGTTCCCAGCCATAGGGGCTGATGAGATGCATACTGCCATTTGGAAGGAAGATGGAAGTGTGCAAAGACTACTTCTGAGTAGTTATCTCATGAACGTGTGAGCATGGAACACAAGGTAAGAAAAGTAACTATGCTGTAACCATTCATATTATGTGAGAACAGACCCATATGTGTTTCAGTCTAGCATTATTATTACACTTACTCTGGTGAGAGTGTCTTTAAAGTTGTAGAACTTGTTTTGCAATGGTTCCCTGTACACATTCCAATCGAAGAGCAAGATCTGTACCATATGCAGGTAACCTAATTTGATCCTGGGCTGGAAAACCCTTTTTCTTTCCCATCATTGTATTTGAAAGAGGAGCTTCTTTAGTAGTTGCTAACATTCCCTTTCTGAAACACCTATTTTGATGAAAGATCATAACTATAGGTATTTCACCTGCAATTCCTCAGAACTTCTTGTATTTAAGTTCAAAGTTACAGGTTCTTAAACTTGCCATGTGCAAACTTGCTAGATTATTAATTTATAGTACTCTTATGAGATTGGCCTCAAACCACTTCCATTATTGGAGGTGTACATCACATGTGCACTCTCTATGTAGGATTTTTGATTGGCAATGGTGCAGAAATATGATTTATTTTTATTCAAGAAACAACAATATTGTTTTGTAAATTATATGAGTTTCATAGTAATCACTGAGAGCTTCCTTGGGTCACGGTTAATGTATTTCATGCACCAACCAAGTAGCTGTATTTGAGTATGTAGTCTGCTGAATACAGACAGTGAAGAAGTTTGTTAGTAGGAGGAAATAGCATCCAAGCATTCCAGTTCAGATAGCATCCAAGCATTCCAGCTGGACAATTCATGTTTTGAACAAGGTTCTTATGAATTTTGGTTCCATCACTACTTGATGACTCCTATTGAATTCATTGGGGCATACATAAGAGTAAAAATGCATACAATTGTGTTGTCAGTTATTCTGATCTTGTGTTTAATAGGTCAGTGTTGCATCCTGTGGTTAATGGTGACCTACTGATGTTGTGTCTAATTGTTTGAGTTAAAATATTGTATGATATTTCAGATTATCTTTAACTGATTTTTTCCAGACAGAAAAAGGAAGTGCATTACATGAAGCAGCTTTGTTTGGAAAGGTGGATGTTGTACGCATTCTTTTAGAAACAGGTATAGTATAATTATTCTTCAAGTCCTGGTTTGTCTCCAGTTTTCTAATTTTAAGCATTTTCTTTCATTTTTTCTTAATTTGGTTGCTGTTTCCTCTCTGAAAGATTCTTGTAGAAGGAAACATATTTCCCATTACCATATGCTTGGATAGACATAGAAACATAGAAACTGAGCAAAAGGGACCTCCTGGGCCATCTAATCTGACCTCCGGCTCTAGCTGGCTCCGCTCATGACATGCCTACCATGTGCATGTCTAGCTTATCCTTGAACACCCTCACTGATGAGGCCTGAACCACCTCCCATTCCATACCCTTGGGGTCCTAAGATAATGGGTGTTTACACATAATGACAACTTACCTTTGAATAAACTATGTGGGATTCATGAAACAATCCGCAGTGCACCTGGGAGATCATTAGGCTAATCATGGGTCGTTCCCTCTCCTTCCATCTTGTCCTGTGTGGGAAACCCTGGGGATTCCACAGAAGGGTCCTATGCACCACCATAATCAAGCCCTTTGATGCTTGCCACAGGTTTTCCCCTTCTTCTTTCATTCCTCCTATCCCAGAGATCGCATTTTATGATCTTTGATTTGACAGTTAGTGCCAAATACCATATTGGAGGGACTGGTTTGTTGCTTTCACTGGCCCAAAATGGCATTCCTCCTGATAGCAATCTTGTGAGAGTCATCTTCTATCAAATTGCAACCAGCACCCCTCATGGGCATTGACCCAGAGAAGTTGAGAAGAGCTTTTTTCTTGGCTTTGGTTTCTCCTAAGAGCTGTCAAAAAGTGAAGAAAGCTGTAAGTGACCATTGCTTGTGAAAAGAGGGTGGCCAGTAGATTGTAAAGGGTGGCTGCAAAGACCATATTGGAGAGGCTGCCTGCATATGCAATATGTAAGTCACTGATGCCTTAGGAGCTTTCCCCATGTAACTCCCTTGCTAGTGACCTGTCTACCAGAAGGTCTTTTCCACTACATGCAACCCTCCTTCAGCCACTATAAGGATAGTGCTGTTAATTATTCCATAATACAGTTTTATTTTTTCTATTTCAGGAATTGATGCAAACATAAAGGACAATATAGGTAGAACTGTTTTAGATATTCTGAAAGAACATCCATCTCAACAGTCACTCCAAATTGCTGCATTACTTCAAGGTAAACAGTTTATACAAAGCATATAAAAGTTATGATTTCATTGCTGTTGTTATATGACATCAAGTTGTCTCTGACTTATGGCAACGCTACAAAGGAATATCTTCCAAAATGCCCCGTTCTTGACAGCACAGCTCAGTTCCTGTAAACTCAAGACTGTGGCTTTCTTTGTGGCTTTTCTCTTCTTCTGCCTTCTACATACTTTCCCTAGCATTATCAACTTCTCTAGTAAGTTCTGCTTTCCCATACTATGGCCATGACAGCCTTTCATCATTTTCGTTTCTAGGGGAAATTCTGGATTGATTTGTTCTAGGATCCACTTGTTCATCCTTCTGCTAGTCCAGGGTGTTCATAAAGCTCTCCTCCAGCACAATGCTTCAAGCACATCAGTATTCTTCCTGTCATCTTTCTTCACTGCCCAGCTTTCCCTCCCATACATAGTGACTAGGTAAACAATAGTGTGTGTGATCTTGGCCTTGGACTCTGGTAAAGCATCCTTACACTTTTTTTGTAGTTCCTTCATCATTGCCCTTCCGAGTCTCAGTCTTCTTCATATTTCTTGGCTGCAGTCTACATTTGAATTAATGACTGAGCCAGGGTATGTAATGCTTTTCACAATTATATTGTCTTTGTTGTAGTCATTCATTGTAATCAAGTTGCATAATTCTTCTGCTGTCATTATCTGCATTATCTAGTGTTCAGCTGTTATCCTGCTTTTGCACTTCCTTCTTCCACTTTCATCAGGAGTCATTTCAATTCACTGCTCCTTGCTGCCAGTAATATGGTATCTTTTATATATTTCAGATTATTGATGTGTCTTCCACCACTTTCCTCTGATCCTAATCCAACTTTCCTTTCTGTTCAACCGATAGGAAAATAAATACATCCTTGTCTGATGCCTTTGCATATAAGAAAACATTCCATTTTTCCATACTCTGTCCTAGCAGTAGGCTACACATGAGACACACCAGTTCCTTTCAGAACCACCCATAGCTTCTTATGATCCACATAGTCAAAGACTCTGCAGTCATCTATAAAACATAGACTAATCTTCTGAAATTCTTTGATGCTATCTGGTAGCCAATGTAAGGCATTTCTCACACCATATAGGGTAAAATTCTTCATTGCAACCTTGAACAGTGGCATGGGAAATTAGTAGAATGATCCTGTAGTTGCTGAACTCTTTTGCATCTCATTTCTTGGGGACTGGAATAAGTGTTGAACATTTCCAGTTTGTGAACTGTTGTTTTGTTTTTCATATTCATTGGCATATTCTTGTTAGGATTTGGACTGATTCAGTCTCTGATGCTTGACATAACCCTTTTGGTATCCTATCTACTCTGGGTGCCTTGTTCCTTCCAGGTGCTTTCAGAACACTTGTCACTTCACTTTCTTATATTGTACGTCCTTCTTCATAGGATTCCTCTTTGAAGAAGCTGGATGTTCCATTTCTTGCTTTATGGTTTTCATTCTTCCTTGATTTATACTTATCACATCCATGTTCTAATTGTATGTGTTATGCGTCATCAGACTTTCCTTTTACTTCTGTGCATGTGAGCCACTGTACATCCTTTCAGCTTTGATTTTGTTGCATTATTTGTGACAGTACTATCTGTACTTATCCTTTGCACTTCCCTGGTAGTTGATTGAGTGACTTCTTACCTGGGAGTTTCATTCTCTAACACTTATCTTTTGTTTCATTCCGGACTGTTTCATCATAGGGTTTTCAAGGTAAGAAGATTCAGAAGTGGTTTACCATTGCCACCTTCTGCAGAGTGCTAACCAGAGCTAGCTTGAATATCACTGTTATTGTTTGTGAAAGATCTTCTTCCACTGCTGCCTTCAGCTACCATTGTTACCCAATAGCTGCCCTTCAGAAGTTCCTTCACCCCCATCACCATTAGAGAGATCTGGTGATGTGACAAAAACTCCTGAAGAAGGTGAATGCATCTTAGTCTGGTGTCTCCACTTTGACCATTCCACCTTAGGTGACACTGGTAGTTGACTAGCCTACTGAGAGAGCCTTGACATCCCAGTGCCATTGCTCCTGACTTCTCTGATATTCCCAAATGCCCTCACTATGTTAAGGTGTGCATCCAAGAGGTGGTATGCTTTAATACTTGCTTATGGAACATGCAGTATTCATTTTGTTTCCATTCAAATTGTTCTCAGAACACATGCCCAAACATTATTGTCTAAATATAACACCTGCCACCTCCTGCATGTTTAGTGTAGTGTAGAGAATGTATATCTAGGCAAAACTTGAACAAAATCCTCTCCTACTTCCCAAATCCTTCAGTCTTACAGACGGGGTGATTTTGCTGCTTTCTTGGCACAAGAACTGGAATTTCTAATTTTCCAGGGGCATGAAAAATCCTACCCTAACCTTTACTCACCTGTTAGGCTAGATAACAACTAGTAATAGTGCTGCCATACACTGCTTTCCCTTCCAGCAAGATGGATATGAACAACCCTGAACTACTTTGCAGTGCTGATTTAACCCGTACTAATCAATAGTGCTTCCCCACCCCAAACTCAGTCATACTTAGACTTAATTTACATTGTTAACTGAGTTTTGTAATGCTTATAAATACAGCTCAAAAAAAACCCTTTCCCCCCTTTTTTGCATGCAATAAAACATGAGCTAACAAGAACATGCTCATGTCATTCATGTTATCTGTTGTTTGGGACTGGATATACCACTGACCAGTCACAGTGACATTAAAATTCTGGGTTTCCCCAGTATTTTCTATGAGTAATAATCACTGTTCCACAGAGTAGACAAAAGCAGGGGTGGGGGATCAAAATGAATCAGGGAGCCTCTTTTGCAGATAGGTACTTTACACCTCCATCTAACCAAATGTTAATCATAGCTGGATCTTCCCTCATTGGCAAAACACATTGATAGATGGTTGCAGACTTATTTCTCAAAAAAAAAAAAAAAAAAAAAACAATTGACCATTTCTTACAAAATAATTGAAACGGTGCCTGAACGTTTCCCCATCAGGGCCTGAGATTTGCTGTCTTTCTTATTTAAAAGCTGGGAAACTAGACTAGCTAGTCAGTGCCTTGCAATGTTGCACAATAGACTACATTCCCCATAGCTTGGTAGCTAATCTGGCAGTACTGCAGCAGAGCTAAGTTCAAAACTTTCTAGAGCTAGGTGTCAAAACTTGTTGGTAATAGTTCTATCCCAAGCATTCAAGTGCATGGCCCTGCCTTCTTACTCTTTTCTTTCTTGATGAAATAGTAGTTGAATTGGATGGAATGTTTTCTCTTAGAAAAAATTGATATGCTAAAATTTTCTTCTGCTCCTTGGTCTGTGTGCATCACACTTATGGGCGCTGCACCATCATGAAACTTGTTGTTGGAAAGATTTCATGACTGAGAGTGTTTTGGTGGGAACTCCTCCCCCACCCTGACATTCAAGTATATATAGGAGGGGTCCCCACTGTTCCCTCAGTTCTTCTTGACCACCCTCTCTGGTGCCTGAGGAAGTTTTTTCTATCTGTAAGCTTGAGCATCTTTCCTTCTTTACTATGTCTACTAAAAATGTTATTCTACAAATCTGTTCCATTTTTTTCATCATTCATTCATCCATTCTTTATTCTACTTTTCTGAATCATTACCCATTCACCCACCTTCCACTATCCATGTCCATGTCCAACTATGTATAAAATTTCCTTGTCTTCCCTCTGATCTTTCTCCATACCCACTATTTCTCCTGCTTTTTCTTTTCCTCTTAGCTTCCCAATATATCTAAGATATCTTTTCAGAAATGCATGAGGCGCAGCAGGAAACTTCTGCTGACTGAAGGGTATTCCTTCTGTGTGTTCTGCCTGGGCAAGGGGGCATATTGTCAGTCAATAAGTCCAGTGTCATCACTTCACAGAGCAGGCCAGAAGGAATAGGGTGGATTGCAGAACTCTGGAACCAAGTGTTCAAGCAAGCAGTGGATTTCAACAAACTGTTGAAGCTAAGCCACCCTTCTACTTCTGAGCCTCCAACCTCATCTCAGTACATGCCTGCTGTGGCTAGTGCTCTAACCATGGGCCAGTATACACCACTGACACCAGGGGCATCTTTGAAGATCTCAGTGGAAAAGAAGTTGGCTAATACAGCCAAGGAGTCAGAGTTGAAGGAAGCTGTGAAACTTACAGGCTACAAGTGGTGTTCCAAGAAACACTATTCAGATTCAGTCAGAAGACATACTTTGATGCGGATTGTCCCAGAACAGGGACCATCAGTACCTAGTCTGAAACCATCTTGGCCTCCATATCAGATGGGATGGTCCAAGATATATCTCCAACTGCTTGACCTCCTTCTGAATCCTGGGTACCATGACAGCCAGTTGCTCCCTCTCCATTACATCTGCAGTCTACCTTTGCTGGATCTGACTACTGTAGGGACTACTCCCATTTTCTACTCTTTGATGGGGCCAGACACTTGATGTTGATACTGAAAAAGATGGCTCCTTTAATGCACATTCTCAAGGGCTGCTGGTTGGGCTTCAGAAAAATCAGAATGACACTGAGAATGGGGAGAAGAGTTAGGGGGCTGGGAATGTGGGTAATCCTGAGACACTGAGATGGGAGAAGCAGACAGGCTTATCTCAAGTCCAGTCATCTCAGGCAGGCAGGCAATCTTTAGGAATAGCTGAGATGTACAGTTGGTGGGAGGAGACTTGAAGCAGAGGAATTTCTCAGACTCAGATGAGGCAGGCACAGCTCTTGACCCTATGATGCATCATCAGTAGAGAAGGGCAGCCCAATCAGAATGCAGAGAATAGGCATGCTCGTTTTCAGAAGGCCTCTTCAGAAGGGATGGGGTCCAGGCATGCTCATAAGAAGAGTTCCTGGAGTTGAATACTGGAGTGCAACTTCAGATGCCTCATGTTGGGAGTGAGAAGAATGGCTGCTTTGGGTACTCATTTTCAAGGACTGCTTGTTGGATTTCAGAAGATTCAGAATTGGAATGTGACACAGATCAAAGGGGAGTTGGGGAAGATGGGCCATGCTGAGATTCCAAGGTGAGGGAGGCAGGCAGGCAGTTCCTGGAAATGACCAAGATATACACCTGGCAGGAAAGGACTCTGAGAATGAGTGTTCTCAGGCACAGGTCAGACAGCTCTGGCTTTTCACCCCACGATACAGCATCAGCAGAACAGGGTTGCCTGGGTAAAGGATCAGTGTGCAACAAGGAGGCATGTTCATTTGCAGAAGGTCCCTCCTCTCATAAGGAGAGTTTCTGGAGCCGAATACTAGATTGGGTTCAACAAACTGCTCAGTGCATGCTCAGAGATTCATTCTGGGTAATTTGTGCTTTTGGGTGAATAACCTAACACTTTGCAAGGAAAATTGTGGCTTTGAATACCTGAAGGAGAAACCTTGGCTTCCACTACCAGAATCCATCCAATGGATTGGATGGTGGACCCACTGCCCCACCTTAACCAAAGGAATTCTGTATACCTCTCCTGAACTGGCTTTCATGGTAACAACAGATGCCTGCCTGTCCAGATGTGCAGCCCACTGTGGTTGCAGTGGGCCATTGCAGCAGTCTATAAAGAAGCAAGTAGGAAGTAGAATACATTTGTATTCACAAGTTTGCAGTTCCAGAAATGTGCATTTCACCTACAGAAGTTATTTTCTTCCTTTAGCCTAGCATGCACATTTGGGGTGTGTGCTTGGAAAAATGTATATGAGTGTGGGTTATTGTGATTAAATTCATCTGTTTTATTCTTAATTATAGCCTTTGTTAAATGTCTGTAATGTATTTTATTATTCATCATGTACAAATGCTATGAACATTGCCATTTTAGCAGTCTAAATAGCAGTATAAATAATTGTTATACTAATAGCAATTTTCAGAAAAGTTGGGATTTAGAATTGTTACTTGCTGAAGCAGAATAAGGAAGTTTCTAAAAAGTGAAGATGAGAAAAAGATATTTGTGAAGGAATATCTTCTATTATATATTATTATTTATTATAAGTTTGTATGCATGCATTTATTTATACTGAATATTCAGTTTTGCAAAGAGATCCCTATCTGCATCTGGATATACCTCCCAGCCACATTCTTTGATGGAACCATCAACTGATATAGATGGCAATGTGTGTCCTATCTGGCACTTTGCGGACAACTGGAGCTGGATTGGCCCTCATCTTCAGCAGATGATGATTATTATTATTAATTACATTTCTGTACTGCCTGTAGCTGAAGCTCTCTGGGTGGTCTCCAACATTAAGTGACCTATCCTGATTTCAGCTAGATTTGATCCTGCTTAGCTTCCAAAATTAGGCAGGATCAGTGCTTAGATCTCACTATTGCAGCTGGTACAAAAGACTACACTCCTAAACACACTTAAACTTAGTGAAATATCTGAGTGAACATATGTAGAATTTGATTTCATGCCTCATGACAGTCAAATTTAGTGTTCTGTAATACTCAAAGATACATCATGAGGTTATGTGGGGAAAATCTAAAAATAATTCAATGAATTGAGATATCATCACTTTTCTCATATTTCTTTACTTATTACAGAGTACACAGAAACAGGAAATGCAGTTGTACCAGAAGAATCCATTCAGGAATGCCCCGTGCCAGATCACCCATCTTGTGTTTTATCTCCAGAAGTTTCTCCTACACAAACAACAAAAAGTAAATATTTTACTTCCTCTAAATATATTGCATATTAAAACATGTTAACAAAATAATGAAAGTCATATTCATTGTGAAATTTTGCTTCTTATTTAGACCAACAGATCTGCAATAACTATGTAACTTAAATATATTATTCCATGCAACCATAAAGCATGTAAATGTCACAGCCAGTAGTTCTTTATGCATTTCCAAGTTGTTATTTAAGGCTAACGAAATGACTTCTGATTGTTTAGTATTACGCCTTATTTGTCACATCATAAGTGATGTTATGGCCAGTTCTTCTTCTGAAACCTTAGCTTAAAAAGAGGGGTGGGGGGAGATAATATAAGAGTTGGCAAAACTAGCTTCCTAACTTCAGTACACTGAAGCTAAATACTTCATCTACACAAAATGTACCATGTGCATAATTTCAGTGTGACTCTGCTATAGAAGTGCCCTCACAGCATAACACGTCTACCTTTCTTCTGAAAGCAGCTTCAAGACAACCTGTTCTGATTTAAATGAAACACTGAATTTTCAGGCAGTTCTCCCTAGTCCTTAAAACTGAGCTCTTTATATGGTACTACTTGATACAGCAATTTTCAAGGTTTTTAAAGGAAGTGTTATGGAAGCACTAAACTAAGTAGAAAAGCATGTTGGGAATTTGAAAAAGCAAAATCAAACAATCCATACAAATAAATAGGTATCACTTTTGTTCTGGAGGCCTCAGTTGTGTTGACTGAGGTGTGAGAGTAAAGGAAGCAGAGTTCCCTTCTGTTAAAAACACCATATCTGTTTCTCCTTGAATTTATACCTGCCTGTATCATTATTAAAATCATAGGCCAAATGGTTTGCCAAGAGAAACAATAAAATTGTAGGATTTTTTTTTAAAGGAATACCCCTACTTAGAGTTCTAAAATATCTGGAAATTATGAAGTCATGGGGAAAAAATAGACATTTGGGGAAAATTTGGAAAACAGTCATTTTACTACATTGGAAACACAAAATATGTAATGTACAACTTGTTTTGGCATATTAAAAGTACAGTATATTCAAACAATAATTACAAAATGAATTTACATTTTAAAAATATTTATGTAGTTTTCTGTGTCCTGAATGGTAGGGAACACCTGAACTGTAAGAAACCTGAAAGGTTTTGCCAATTTATGAGATACAGGGAAAATGATAAAAACACAGGAAAATTTTAGTATTAATACCACAAAAAAAAAAACAAAAAACAAAAAACCTGTATCTCTGGTCCTACACCTTTCCAGTGCCAAACATACATAATGCATTCATTCCCATAAAATGGACTGCAAGGGAAAAAAAGGTGGGGGGAGAAGTTGAACCAAGATTCAGTGAATACAGGTGAAATTTAATCAATCACATTTTCTGAACTATTGTCATCAGTTTCACTTTTTACTTCTTCTGTGTCTACATCTTTGTCATCATCATAGCTATGGACGTCTAAAAACTGAATGGCTGCCTGGTATGAAACAAATTTCTCTTTCCTGTCACATGTCAATCTATTACTTGATTTGCTGTATTTCAAATAATTGACCAGTTTCTTTCACATACTGCAGAAGATAGAGGAATCTGAAGTGGGTGGGAAGACGAGTCAGAGACTGTGTTGTGCAAAGGCCCTGCCACCATTTATCAGACGATAGCTTCATAAAGTACAGCATTACTTGGGGTTCAGGGTATTTTAAGATCCCCAGTGATTACTATTTCTTGAAGAATTTCTTTGTTGTTGTATTTAGTAAATTTTCAAAGCAGATCACCACTACACCCCTTCAAGTTTCACTACGGAACTTCAGTACCTGTATTTTATTCTTTGCATTTTTCTTATTGCTTCTTCTTGAAGACATCATCTACAATAGACATCTTCAAAAGTAGCTTTTACATGTTTTATAACTTTATTTGTTCATCTATAATTTTTTTGGATCATGTCTGGTTTTGTGCTGTCAGTAAGAAGCAAGTTTTAACCTATGACATGCACAACTTATTGCAGTAATGTGTGGATATGTATCCATTATTATTTCCCATGCTATGTTCATATTATTGGGATTGTCTGTCAGCAAAGCAAATACTTCAGTATTCCCAATTTTCTGTAGGATTTCTCCTCTTTTACAACTGATACAGTGTGGAGTCTTTCTATTCAGTCCTGTTTTAATCCTTCTGTATAAAACTGGTTGAGGTTTTCTTATCACAAGGTTTATTATACCTTCTCTGTCTCATCCATCTGTGAGTCTGTCTAGCTGTAAGTACTGCAAGATACAGGACTTTTAAATTTTTCCTTCCATGGAATCCTTAACATATTCATATTCTGACTTATAAAGAATGTCTGTTGGGTAATTGGTAAGATGGTCTTAGCGATTTTAAAGTTTCCTGCTAATATGCATTATTGGTTACTGACAGTGGAGTTCCAGAAGAATGTTTCTCTTGCAAGAAACTTTGCAAGAACTTGGTCAATTTTTTCCTGAATGTCAGATGTCATCTTGTCTACAAGTGAAGCTACTGGGCTTTTGAAGTGGGAGTGATACAGTTGTTTGTGATGTTTGTTTACTTGAAGATGCTGTTGCTGATTGAGGAATGCTTTGTGATTATGTTGGTTTTATAGAAGGAACAGAAATACAACTTCTGGAATGAGAACATTGGTCAAAGCTACTTGTAATTTCATCAGTATGGGCCTCCTCATTTGGATTTTAATGTTTGCAGGACGTGTCTTACATGATACAAGGATATGTTTTGTCATCCTAGTTGCATTTTCAAATGCTTATTCATTTGACAGTATTTGCAGATTATGTTTTATTTGCTCGGAAGAACTTGTAGTATGGAAATACCACCATTTGCTACATGTTGATTTCACCATTTTTTCTGAGGGGAGGGAAACATAATTTAGTGGCTGACTTTCCAGGAGCACTAAAATATGGTGGGGGGGGGGTGCAGCAAAGCATCAGATTAATAGGTATTAAATTCTTATTTACAGAAAAATTATGAAGTTAAAAGAATTCAGTGAAAATACTGTTTAATTTTCTGAATTCAGATATATTTAAACACGTATGTTTCAAATAAGTTCACTTTCAGCTCCTTTTTAGCTTTAATTTTCCTGCAAACTATACCAACAAGATGAAGCCCACAAGCAAAGAAGAAATTAAAACCTTCCTTCTCTTGCAACAATGGCAGTGCCCCATAAAAGCAGAAATACATTTCATGCTTCAATTTGAGATCAGTTGAGATCTCAGATCATAACTTAGGACTTCCTTTTCCTCAGTATACATGAATTGTAATGATCCATTACTATGCTTCGTCTTCCATAAATATCTGTTCCATAGCTTTTTTGAAAACAGACATTTTGGGGAAGTAAATATATGAATCTCTTACCTAAGACATTCAGCATTCTGAAAGAAAATGTTCCAGAATCCAAGGGTTATTTTTTTCAGCATTAAAAAAAAAAACTTGGAAAAAAACCCCCTTTTTTCTAATTTTTATTTTTCCCCCTCTGGGCCTTCACATCTCCGTTCTTACACATGTGAAGCAAGCTACATGCTGTTCATCTTATTAAATCTGTATGATATGGTTCCCATGAAGTGGTTATGCAGTTTACCTGGTGTAGACATAATTTTTAACTGCTAGAGAAAATATATTTTCTCTTCTACAAAAAGGCAGTTAGGAGATTCTGAAAGCTGGTCTACTGAAACCTTATTGCTCCATTTTGGGAAAGATCCATTCCCTTTTTGGTTCATATGACAATAGTGCACAAAGTTTTCAGCATGAAAATCAGTAGAAAGAAAGATGCATCTGTGCATGTGTAGTTTCTTCATTTATCTACGAGTGAAATCAACACATCCAACCTAGTATGGGGATCTGCAATTTGGGAAAAGGAATAGTGTAATTAATCAGGAAAGAAAGTAATTCATTTTTGTGGAGGATTTCTAAGGACACGCAGAATGTAAACTGAAAAAATAGATCTTAAAAACAATATTTGAGTAGTTTCTGTTTTTCCAGCAAGACCAACCATCATGCATGTGTCTTAAAGCACTACACACAATGTCCGTTCTTCACCATTGATGAATACTATTGGCTAATAAGTTGAGCCACCAAACATCTTTTGCATTCATTTTACAGGGATCAAATGAAGAGGACCTAAGAGAAAGAAGAGCTAGGTTAGGGGGAAGAAAGAGTAGATAGGACATCACATTGCCAGTATACATCTGTTTTTCAGATTAGACCATGCTTAGATGAGTATATTATGTATCACGTTGGGACTTAATTTCTTTGGCTTGGTATTCTGACTAATGTTGTTTTACTTTTCGTAAAGGTGAAGCTCTTACTGGAGAGTTATCAAAACTATTGGATGAAATCAAATTGTGCCAAGAAAAAGATTATTCTCTGGAAGAGCTGTGCCATGCAGTGTCAGACCATTATGTGGAAAATGTTAGCAAAGTATCAGAAGAAGAACCAGTGATGAATGGAAACCAAGCTAAATCTAATGTAGTAAGTAAGATGGGATATAGCTTAGCATCTGGCAATTAACAGCATTATTAAATTTTGTCTCATAGATATATTATTTATTTAAACATTTCTATCATGCAGCACTTATATAAGTATGGCATACAATATTATAATTAAAACATATAATAAAAATTAACTAGATAAATTATGTATATGTGTTCCTCAAAGAATAAGGCAGGCCCTGCTATACTTGTTAAAAAGGACCTTGAGGCTGTGAAGAAAGAGAGCAGATGTACTAGAATAGAAAGGATGCATCTAAATAGATAGATGAATCTAATGCCATTCAAGCACACGTCAGAATCAATGTGTTAGTTTTTAAGAGTTTATGTTACAAGATTTTTTGGTAGTTTTTGCCTCAACAGACTGAGAAGCTTATCCCTCTGGAAACTGGTAAAAACTTCCCCAGTAAATAAATGATTCTTAAATATTTTGACATTGAGCCAACCATGTAACTTTCCTTTACCTTCCAGCCTCCTCTGTTACCACCAAGCTTTTGTTGCAGAATGAGTGTGGGTCTAGAAATTTTGACTGGTCTTAGCTGTGATATCACATTGAACTTGGGAACTGTAAGGAGTGCTTCCAAGGAGAAGTGTAACTGCAGGGGAAAGTCCCTGCCACCTCTCTTTAGTCCGAGCTGTGTAGATGGGAAAAGAGCAGCATCGAGCATATTGGTGGAACTGTGGGCATAAGAGAACTTTACATGCAGAGATGTATGAGTATGGCATCCACCACTTTATATAAATTTATTTAGATTGATTCTGAAATTGTGTGTGTGTGTTTGTGTGTGTTTTATTTTACTTTATTGTAGCCTAGTGCATGACTTTTTACAGACCTGGGGTGGCTTATGTAAAGTCAAAGATGGTGATAAAATCACAACAGTCAATTTGAATTGGCTGTCAATTAAAGGTATGATCATATGAGGCTCCAACGTTTCTGTTGAAACATTGTTGAGAGAGGTGCTTCCCTCCCTCATTTCCTCTCCACCAGACTCAGGTGAAACACAGTTCATGTTTTAAAGATTACAAGTTACAGAGATGTCTAAATCAAGGTAGTATTGCTAGGATCCCTACAAAAAGGTTATTTTTTTTATCTCTCAAGAACAGGACAAAGACTTCATGGATGTTGTACTATATGGATAAAGATTTAGAGTCATATTTCTTCCAAAGATCCAGGGTTGGTAGCATTGTAAAGGGAAGCAACTAAGCTTGATAGTTTAGAAATTCATTTAAAAAATAAAAATAAGGCAATATAGTTACCTGTACAGCTTGTTCAACTGCATTTCGCTTCAGATTTGTGAATAGTTATTCAGGTGAACTGACTGACTACAGTAGTGGTATGTCATTTCCACCCCAGAGGCTCCCCCAATATGACCATGGAAGGCACTACAGTCAGAGATGTACTGCTGATGATGTGGTAGGGTATGTATGTGGCATTCTGGGGTTATATTGGAGATGTCCTTGGAATCGCAAGATGGCATGTGACCTTCTTTACAGAGAACAGTTCTGTATTTGAAAAAATGAGAGAATAGTCCTATATTTGAAGGGCAATTGAGTCCATTCCATTCAAAAGATAACTGCAAGAAGGGAAATTAGGAGCTCTGAAGTTACCTATGAATAGTTAACACCTGGAATGCAGATTGAGAAGGCACACAGCTCATATGGTCACAGTCTTCTCCACCATTGCAAGAGTGTATTTTTAACTGTGTTTTTCTGTTGTGTTTTTCTATTTAAAGTTTAGCAATTATTTCTAAATTAGCACCTATACATGCAAATTAGTACATGCAAATGTATAAATCTGTCCATGTTTAGTGATGTTCTTCCTCTTTTTTGTGTGTGATGTGCAGTGGCCTTCATATCTTGAATTTACAGAAAAGCCCCTTCAGTCTGTAAACACACTTTTTAAAAAGTCAAGATTGCCCCTATCAAAACAAAAGGACATTCATTACACTGGAACTGATGTAGTTAACCTGATGTATCAGTGGGAGGGAAACAGAAGCCAACCCAAAACATTTTTTGGGAGGAAGAGTCCCTCCCCACCTGTGCTGACAACTCATAGGAAGTGGCATTAGCTTTAATAGGATTCTTCCCACCTTGCACATACACCCAACATATTACTTTGTTATTTAGAGATTTCTACTCAGACTTTCATCTCAAGTGAGCGTCCAGATTAAAAGACAGAATAACAATGATATTAAAAAAAACATAAATCAAGAACATAGAATTAAATAAAATGACAGCAAGGAAAAGGCAACACAGGTCTGTTTCAAATAGTATAAAACCATAGCAGGAGATTAAAAACAGGACAGATCAAAGACATAGCACAGTTAGGAATTATTAGCTGCCACACTCAAAATAAGCTCAGTAAGGAAGAAAAATAAATCCTCAGGTGGGGTGTTTGCCTGAAAAGGTCCTATCTTACATCCCACCGATCTCTGAAGGTGACAGGATCTGAACCAAAGCTTCAATGGATAGATGTGCTTATGGAAGAAGCAGTCCATCATATAAATTGATCCCAATCTGTTTAGAGCTTTGAGGCAATCAGGAATTTCACTTGCCCCTAAAAATGACCTGGAAGCTACTGCAGATAAAACTGAGGTAGTATGGTATTTCAAGCAGCTCACACAACCACTGCAGTTTGTACCAGCTGAAATTTCCAATCGCCCTTCAAAGACAGTCCCATAAAGAACACATTGCAGTGATCTTAACCCAATGTGACCACTAAGTCATGAGTGATAGTTACCACATTTGTGTGATCCCACTTGGGTCTCCTGTAGCACAGTGTTGCTACAGCATCCATATCAGTTGCCCTCTTTCTTTTTTTACTGTGAAAATATCTGAGTGCTCTGCTTTATTATACCTACTAAAATTGATTCCTTAGCTCTGTTATGTAGTAAAACATTTAAAATATCTCATGCTTGGCTCTCTTGGAACACCAGTAACCAAATATCAGTTAAAGAATCAGTAGATTTTATTTCAACAGGAAATGAACACGGGCACCCCATGAGTGTCAATGGATCAGAGTACTTAATGAGCTGACATTCAAACACATTCATGTAATTGAAATAGGAGTCAGAAATATAGTTGTATAGTCTGACAGCATATTATAAGACAGGGTCTCCAAACTTGGGATTCCAAGTATGTATTAGTTAAGAGTTCAGGAGGATCCCAAGCAGAGGAGTGTCTGGTGCCAGCAGTGTTATATCCACAAAGTTATATCTTTTGCATCTGTCTTGCTTTTATGTGCGGGTGAGGCAACTAATTTCTTCTTCATAGACTTTGTGCATCACATATAAGGGTTCTGTGCCTGGGTGGAGCCTTGCTCTAGGCAACTTGTATAGCTGAAAAATATTTGGCAGGACTCCCACCTCTGCGGTGAGACTAGTATATCCCTACAAGTTCCTGCCTGTTTCCCTCAGTTCTTCTTCCGCCACCATTGTGGTAGCTTCAGGAAGTACAACTTATTTTATGGATATGTTCTTTAGGTAAGCTTATGTGTTCTTCAAGTATAATTTTAGCTTTATCCTATTGTTATTTCTATTATTGTTTATTATTGTAAGTTTAATTTTAATTTTGGCCTTGCCTTGTCTTTTTTTCTTCTTTTTTGTCTCATTCATGTAGTAATGGGTCCTTCTCAGGCATATGGCATTTAAGGCCCCTTTTGAAAGTATAAGCTCTGAAAATAAACTCCGTTCCATGGGAGGAACAATCTTTGTCCTTTCTGCCTGGGGCCACTTCCTCTGATCTGCTCAGCTAGGAGTCAGGAATCAGACAGATATATTACCATAGAATTAAAATTTGGTCCAGTATAGTTATGTTCAAATTAGCATGGCATTACTGAAGCATAACTCTGAGAATCTGTAACACCTGTTAATAATAATGGCTAAAAGTAATGAAAATAAGCAAAAACATAATGATAGAAACTATAGTGTAAGAACAGTGTAGACGAATAGGTTCATGGAACAAGCATTCATTTATTTGAGATGAATAAAAGGCTACTTTGTCTGCATAACCTACACATATTTCTTACCAGAGGATTAATTGGATTTGAGAGAAATTTTAAAAATCATATTTGGAAAAGTATTTTGACATTATGGTATGTCAATACAAAGCTCAGGCAGTCAGATTATTGTTCTAGTATCTATATTCCAATAGATGGCAGTCTGGTTTAATAGTGAACAGCATCAGCCCAAGCCATTCCACAGAACTACCTATAAAGGAAATTGATATTAGGAATCTTCAAGGGACAATATCTTTTGACTATTTTATGTACTAAAAGGAAAATGCTCTAGTTCCTTCTTTTAGGTTATACAGGTGCTTGCAAAGATTAAGGTAGAGCATTGCCAAGTGTTATTAAATTAACCCTATGCATTTCAGTATGCAATGCCCTGCTCAGATTCAGAACAAATGGCAGCTTGGTTGCACTGTTAAATGACTCGTACCAGCAGGGAGTGTGGGGGTATGTGAACCTGCTACATTTCCTGGATATCTTAGCAGATTTTACCATCTTCAGCCATGGTGCTCTTTTAAACTAATCATTCTAGGTTGTGGGTTCAGTACAATGCATAGTAGTAGTTCTTTTCTTTTCTGGAGAGTAGACTTCAAAAGACAGTGATAGGAAGGTTGCTTCCTTTGGGAAATGAACTAAGATGTTCGTCAAGATTCAGTTTAGTCTATCATGCTTTTAAACATCCACATGAAACAACTGAGTGTTGTTTCATGTGGATGTTATCAGGGTTATGGCATACAGTGTTATCCATTGACATATTCCATTAACAAAAAGCTTTCCTTTTAATGTCTTGTGTTAAGGCTTTTCATCTTCACACAATCTGTAAAATGCCAAGTTTAGTTTAAACAACCTGTGAGGTAAATTGGGCTGAGAGTCTGTGACTGGCCCCAAGTCACTTAGCAGGCCTGTGGGTTGAGTGGAGACTAGAACCCAGATTGCCTGGGTTCCAGTCCTGTACTCTTAACCGCTAGAGGTAAATAAAAGATATAGGTGTAATCAAGCTGCCAAAGCCATTTGGACGCTTTTATTTTGCTGTGTAATACAGGGTCACCTGATGAATTTATATGAGTACAGATGCAAAAATGTGCAAAATTAAAGCAGATCCTTCCTTTATATTACTTGTCAATCAGTAGAATTTGTTTCCCTTTACTGTTATTAAAGAAATAAAAATAGGCTTTTAAATGTTATTAATTAATAATATTATTAAATAAAGAGTTATTGAATAAATAGATAGCAAAGCTATCTGTGTTTAGACATCTAGGAACCATACTAGATCAACACCAGCACTACCCTAATTATATAGCTAGGCAGGTACTTAGCTGTACTGGTTATGAAAAGTACAAATTTATGTTTTTATCAATATAGACCAGTGATGGCGAACCTATGGCATGTGTGCCACAGTGGGCATGCAGAGCCCTCTCTTTTGGCATGCAAGCCAAGTTGCCCAGTATCACCCTATGCACATATTTGGAAAGAGTAACGGTGCCAGGCGATGATGTCACTCGTTAGCCACGATTTGCTGCAAGAGGTGGCATCAAACAGCTGGCCAGAGGCAGGTGCAACAACTGTGGCGGGTGCGCCAGAAAAGGAGCAGGTGAGCAGTGAGCGGGCATGCCGAGCGCTGATGGCGGCACCCTCCTCCTGCCTCCTCCTCTTCCTAGCCTGCAGCATGTGAACGGCTGCCCAAGCTGCTCTCCTAGCACAGTGGCAGGACCCTGCTGACTCGGTAGCTGCAGGCATAGCCAGACAGCTGCGCGCACGCCTGCCTACACGCATGCTCTTGGGCCGGGCTCCTGGGCTGGTAGCCGCAGGGTGGGGGACCTAGGTGAAGGGAGCGAGTGATGGGAGAAGCAGCAGCAGCAGCTGGAGTGAGGCGGAGAGAGAGGACACCTGGGATCAATATGGGGAGGGAGGCCAAAACAAGGAAAAGTGGAGGCTGGAACTGCTGTGAAGCAAGAGGATTGGGCACGTGACAGGGACCCCCATCCCCACTCAACCACTTGCCAAGGCTTGGCAGTGCCATGGGTTGCTTCAAGAAAAATCCCAACAGACGCATGGAAGGGATCAGCAATAGCCTCTCCTCACCTTTAGTTTAGGTCTCTCTCCCCCTCATTCCACCCCTCTGGTACACTTTCAAGTGCCACTGAAGCTCCTGCAGCATTCCCGGTGGCTGGTTTGGGGATGTGCATGCCTGGGCGCAAGCAAGCCCAATATCCCCCAACTTGGGGATGCTGAATGTGAACATGGCTCCTTCTCTCTGTTACTGTGTTTTTCTTTTAAGACAAAAGATGTGAATGTATGAATTGGTTTTTTTTTCTAAACTAAAACCTCCGTATTCAGGTTTTATTGCAATGTTGGCATTTTGTGATAAATAAGTAGGTTCTGGGTTGCAGTTTGGGCACTCAGTCTCTAAAAGGTTCACCATCACTGGTATAGACATTGTTCCAAACCATTGTTAGAAAATGTATCAAATAGTATCAAGCAAGGAACAAAGCATCAGATTTCAAAAAGCATTCATGGGGTCAGTGCTTTCTGAATGTTTTTCATTCAGGTTTTGATATGGGTTCCAGTCTATTTGAGAGACAAATGAACAAATATTTATTTTTAACACAAAGAAGTAGAGTCTTATAAATAGGAATGAGCTGTATTAAAATATTCATAAAACTGCTGCTTGAGGTAACTGCTTCCCTTCAGGAAGGGAAATTAGGTGATTAAGGTCCTCTTCTTCTCCCAGGCCTTGAACTTTTGAGAGGGAGCCAAAAGCTCACCCTTCATTCTTTGACTGAACATTCAAGATGTCACTGATACCTTAAAGCCAACAGCTGTGTCCAAGTACATAGTTAAAGTTGGTAGAGCAACAAAGTCTTCCCTGAGAGATGTCAAACAGTAAAGAGGTGGGTATGGACCCTAGCATTATTTTATTTATACATGCATGCATCTTGAGACTCAGTTAGTGAAAAGTAATGTGTGGGAACAACCCTGAGTGGTGGATTAGCATGTAATGCATGCTAATTAGCATGTAATGCATGCTATAATAAAACATGTGACACAGGAGGTAATGGAATGTGGAAAACCCAGCTTAGATTCCTGCTGAACTTTGAGGTTTAAAACCTCTTCAGACAATATGGTCTTCTAGTTTGATTGTAGGGATGTGTCAGGAATCTGATAGGGTAGGTGGGTGAAAATTTCATGGATTTTCTTGACTGAGCCCCATAGATTTTGCTCTGTCAACTCTATAATAATGTCCATTTAATTTAATATAATTCAGGCCAGCCCATTGACTTTTGCTTTTAAAATGGGTCATGCTTTGCATCTTTTTAAGCTTGGAGAAATTGTACAAAATTGAGACCTCCACTCCACATTCTTTGTAAAGTTGAAAAAATTATGTAACTAATTTGTGTAAATTGCAGAGCAGAGTCCTGAATTAGGAAGAATTTTGTTACTCTAAGTGGATCTGTATTTTTTCTACTGTTAGATTGCAGGTTTCCTTCTTTACAATGGTGACTAGGTAACTGAGCTAATTTTGTTTCTTAAATTTGAACCTTCTTTGTTTTTGTTATGATATATGGCTAGCAATAAAACTACCACAACACATGTAGAAATTTATACATATTAATTGTCATTCTTTTTATTGATGTAGAAGATGTTGCCCAGTTTACAAACAAAAGTCCAAAATAACAGGAGGTATAACTTTGTGACTTAGAGACTGGGTCTATAATCCAACAAAAAGTGGTTTACAGTGCGATCCTTGCAAGTAAGGCTTATTGAACTCATTGAGGCTTAGTCCCATATCAGTGTGCATAGGATTGCAGCTGAAAGACTGTTATAATTTTTGACAGATTCTGTTAGATTATGAAGAGGGTATTTACATCAGTAGGCTGAATAATTATGAATTTATTTAACAGTGTAAATCACCAGTACTAAATAGTTTTCTAAACAATAAAAAATAAGTGTCTGTAGAAAGGACAAGATTACCTTCCTAGCAATCTTCTTGCAATATATACTTCTAAACATGCCACATAAAATTTAAGTAGAATGAATGTTAACTATTTATTTTATTGCAATTATACCTCATCATTCATTCATTACAGAAATTATGGAAAAGGTCACAACATTTAAAAACCAAACTAACCAAGATGAATTCTAAAATAATTGAATTGAATTGAATAATTGAATTTGAATGTTGAATAAATTAACTTTCACCTTTCTTTTGTTACACTTAAGTATTAATTTCTGGTGTGTATATTAAATTCCAGTTCAGCTGAATGTGTAATAAAAGCAATGTGCTTTTCTGTTAATGTACAGCACAATTAATTTTGGAAATCTTGTTCTTTTCCCCTCAGAGACCATCTTCAACAAATCTGTCACCAACAGAAGAGGAAGAGGAGGAGGATGGAGTTGAAAATAGTTGTGGACCTACAGGTTTGTGGGAAGCACTGACACCTTGTAATGGATGCAGGAATTTGGGATTTCCCAGTCTTACTCAGGTATTACTTTAACAATATCTCTTCTATTGTAGTTTGCACTTTCTGTTTTTTGTTAATTCAAGAACGAAGGAGTACATTAAATCATATTAAGTCACTCCTGTATATGTCTACTCAACTAACTCCCATTAACTGCTGTAGGATTGACTTAGGAGTAAGTGTGTGCCTTATATGTACATGAAAGGATTTGAAAATAGAGAAAAAGAAATATATCAAGAACAACATTGATTCTGTAACCGCACACTACAATGTTCTCCAAATTATCTTTTTATGTTCCTGAACATATTTTAAAGGGTGTGACTCTACATTCATTGACAGGGAAATTTGATCAGTGTTACCCACTGGCAAGATAATTTCCTTCACATCCTTGTAACTCTTGATGGGTTTATTGAGTATGTATTACAGAGAGTGACTATTACTTTATTGGAAAAGGCAAGCAGGCTCACTCTAAACTTGACCTGACAAAATAACAAGAAATTAACTAAATATATTCTTGGCTGTTTTTCTTTTTTGGAAGATGTTGTAGGGCAGGGGTGTCTAACCTTTTGGCTTCTCTGGCCCACATTACAAGAAGAAGAATTGACTTGGACTGCACGTTTAATACACAGACACTACCAAAAACTGATGAGCAAAAAAGAGGTCTGTGCATAATATTTGTGATATCCGCCACCACAGATAAGCAAAAAAGTCCTCACATAATAATCCTAATTTGGAGAGTCTTTTAAAATCATTGCAGTGTCCCAAGTTTGCGGTCCCCAATATAGAAAATGAATATATCTAAGTAATAAAACTCAAAGAAAAGAGGGCAACGTAAAACTAGTGGGATATTTGACATTGCATTTGAGAAACTAATGCATCAGTATCTGGTTCGATGGAAGTAGTTGCAATTCTTAGAGTTCTCAAGGTGCTCATCGGATATTTTGGTTCTAATTTTACTCTTAGCATGCTTCATTCTTGAAAATAATTGCTCACAAATGGAAGCTACACACCACTGTAAAACTGAAGCCAAGCATGTGTACAAATAGCGAGAGCAACGTATGTTTATTTTACATGACATTGTGACACAATGTTGTCATCTACAACATTCACATTTGAGAACCACATGATCAAGTTATAAAATCTCAAAAAATCTCATAGTATTTTCAGTAAGTTTATGATTTTGTGTTGGGACATGGGTAGGACACCCCTGTGGTAAGGTTTCTGACATTGTTCAAGGATTTTTCTACTCTTTTTAGAGAGAACAATTTCTTTTACTTTCATGGATGGAACCAGCTCTCTTCCTCCTGCAGTGTGAACCCATATATGACAGTTGCATATTCAGTTGCAGTAGAAACTTTCAAAGCTCTTCTCATGCATTAGTGTGTCTCCTCTTTCTGCGCTATAGTATATTCTTCATATTAAACCTTTCCCAATGAGCTAAACATAAATTGATTTGTAATTATTTAACCATGTTGTCACATCATTATAGGGCTTTGTATTTTTATAATGCTTGACTATTTTGCATACCTGTTTGTTTTACTTAATATATTGTTGCATATACTTAATGCTATTTATTATATTCTCCTTTATTCTCGTCTGTGTTTTAGCAAAACATTTTCTGATGGTTGGAATCAGTTCTAGGGCCTTTTGATGCTGCAGCTAATCTAAATTGCACTGCACAAATTTGCGTGACCTGTAGCACAATACCACTAGAGTTTTGGTGTGATGGATTTCCCTGGAAAAATTATCACACTAGTAAGCCTATTCACATTATGCTGGAAGTTACATGAGGTAGCACGACACAAGTTACATTAGCAGTAGTGTAAAATTGGATACTGTCCACACAATTTAACTTGGAATCAACTGTGTAATAACCCCCATCCCACACATGCAGAACTCTAATTGAAGAACCATATAAATGATTGTCATGACTGTTCTCTCCCACCTTCCAAACAGGTCAAATAAATAAAGGCATTATTATGTTAAAGCCAACTAACAGGTTTGTGGTACAAAAGAAGAATATTGCAAAAATCAATAGCAAAAGAAACAAGCACAGATAGAATACTGGCTATTAGGAAATGAAATGCTGATCCCAGATTAAATACTTCTTCACCCATCCAAACTGAAAAGAGCAAATGAAACCTTCAAAGTGGATCTTTCTGCTTAAGGGCCAGTCACTTGGAGAATGACAGGTCTGAACTCGTATGTCCTCTTAACTTGAAATGTACCTTCAGATTAATACTGCTAAGTCTGCCCCACTTCACATTAGTGTGCTCACTAAACTTTCCCACGGCATTTGAAAATATCTGATTCTCAGTCACTGCCTGACAAATTTCTGCATCTACTGCCTTGGCATTTCAGTTGCAGATTCTCAACCTTTCTCTTCCTCTTGAGTCAGAATTTATATCTACAACCATTTAAGCTTCTTTTATAAGGAGTGATCTCAAGCCCTACAACAGTCACACATTACAAAAAAGTAAACAAATTTTTAAATATACTATCATTTCTAGTCTCCTAATGAAATCAGAACATTATTGTTAATTGTATTTATCACATTTCCATTCTTTTTCCCAGAAGCTCAGGGAAGCAGGACTGTACTTTTTCCTGTAGCATTGACTGTTGTTGTTGTTGTTAGTTGTGAAGTCGTGTCCGACCCAATGCGACCCCATGGACAACATTCCTCCAGGCCTTCCTGTCCTCCACCATCCGCTGGAGTCCACTTAAGCTCACACCAACTGCTTCAGTGACTCCATCTAGCCACCTCATTCTCTGCCGTCCCCTTCTTCTTTTGCCATCTATTGTTCCCAGCATTAGGCTCTTCTCCAGTGAGTCCTTCCTTCTCATTAGGTGGCCAAAGTATTTGAGTTTCATCTTCAGTATCTGGCCTTCTAAAGAGCAGTCAGGGTTGCTCTCCTCTAGGACTGACCAGTTTGATCGTGTTGCGGTCCAAGGGACTTGCAGGAGTCTTCTCCAGCGCCACAATTCAAAGGCTTCAATTCTTCGGCAGTCAGCCTTCCTTATGGTCCAGCTTTCACAGCCATACATTGCAACTGGGAAAAACATAGCCTTGACCATACACACTTTTGTCAGCAGGGTGACGTCTCTGCTTTTTAGTATGCTGTCTAGATTTGCCATAGCTTTCCTCCCAAGGAGCAAATGTCTTAATTCCTTGGCTGCAGTCCCCATCTGCAGTGATCTTGGAGCCCAGAAAAATAAAATCTGTCACTACCTCCATTTCTTCCTCTTCTATTTGCCAGGAAGTGATAGGACCGGATGCTATGATCTTAGTTTTCTTAATGTTGAGTTTCAAGTCAACTTTTGCACTCTCCTCCTTCACCGGCATCAAGAGGCTCTTTAGTTCCTCTTCAATTTTTGCCATTAAAGTGGTATCATCTGCATATCTGAGGTTGCTGATATTTCTCCCAGCCATCTTAATTCCAACTTGTGATTCATCTAACCCCGCCTTTCTCATGATGTGCTCTGCGTATAAGTTAAATAGGAAGGGTGACGGTATACAGCCTTGCCAAACTCCTTTCTCAATTTTGAACCAATCAGTGGTTCCATGTCCAGTTCTCACTGTTGCTTCTTGACCCGCATACAGGTTTCTCAAGAGACAAATAAGATGGTCTGGTACTTCCATTTCTTTAAGAACTTGCCACAGTTTGTTGTGATCCACACAATCAAAGGCTTTAGCATAGTCAATGAAGCAGAAATAGATGTTTTTCTGGAACTCCCTAGCTTTCTCCATGATCCAGTGTATGTTGGCAATTTGATCTCTAGTTCCTCTCCCTCTTCGAAATCCTGTCTGTGCTTCTGGTAGTTCTCGGTCCACATACTGCTGGAGCCTAGCTTGTAGGATTTTGAGCATAACTTTGCTAGCATGTGAAATGAGTGCAATGGTGCAGTAGTTTGAACATTCTTTGGCATTGACCTTCTTTGGGATCAGAATGTAAACTGACCTTTTCCAATCCTGTGACCATTGTTGAGTTTTCCAAATTTGCTGGCATATATAGGGTAGCACTTTTACTGCATCGTCTTTTAGGATTTCGAATAGCTCAGCTGGAATACTGTCACCTCCACTAGCTTTGTTGTTGCTCAGACTTCCTAAGGCCCATTTGACTGGCTTGAGGTCAGTGACCACCCCATCGTGGTTATCAGGGACGTTAAGCTCTTTCTGGTATAGTTCTTCTGTGTAATCTTGCCTCCTCTTCTTAATCTTTTTCTTATTATATTCCCAGAACAAACCTGTGAAACAGTTTAGCCTGAAAGTTAGGTATGCAACAGCTACTCTTCCTTCAAAGAGCTGCAGTGTGTGTCATCCACCATTATAAATAAGCAAACCTGACTAGGGTTTATTGGGGGCGTCACGTTGGGTGAACCTGAATGGTAGGGTTTATGTGCTGTGGATTAGGTAGGGTTATTTGATTTTGGATTATGTGAGCACTATTTAACACTCAGATAACACCCATCAGTCACATTTGCACAACAAACAACTCTTGTAATCTCTGGAGAATGCATATTCATTGTTTGGAGTTTTTTTATGCTGTAATCCAACCCTGTTTGATGCTTCTGCACAACTTTACTCCAGAGCTGTTTTGATAGCTCATTCTCCTTGATGCTGTTTGTTTAATTTTTTTCTCCAACAAACTTTTGGGCCTTTCAGAAAAAGGTGAATTTAATCAGAACATGAAGCATTTGAATAGCACACAGTTGCTCTACAGAACTACTTACAGTATGTGGCTTAGGGAAGCAGTGCTTATTTAGGTATGGCAGGTTAAGTCAGAAGTAGTAGTATGTTGGAAACATTACTTTGCTGACTTGCTACAGCCAAAGAGACTGAAAGGACAAGTCTCTGTATGAGATCATATTCTGCCTCAGGTATGTCTCCTTTTGAGATACTTTTAGAGGCATAACATCCAGTGACACCTGTGGATGAGCGGAACATTCAGAGCTATACTACCCCATTCAGAGAATCTCCAAGCTGAATTTTGTTGGTCAAGACCAATGTCTCTAGGTTCCATATA